GTAGGGTCTTAGTGTCCAGAGACTAATGTGTGTAACTAAAGGGAGTACACACTCTATTAAGTCCTAAGCCTTGCAGAATGATGGGAGGTACCCCAGCTTGTTTAACTAATTCATCCCTTAAGTGTATGGGCTGGACAATTTTTAATTTCTTTGAAAATCTAAATCACATTGTCTCAACCTTGTCTTCACATCAGCTCTATAGATGCATCAGTGGCTCTAGCCATGTCTGGAGTGATCACCTTCATCTCTGCCAAGGATGTTCCTGGTCAGAATCGAAGACTCTGGTTCAACAACCCAGAGGAGCTTTTTGCAGAAGAGGAGGTACCACAATAAATATTCTCTGGTTTAAAGATACAAAATGATTCCTACCTCAGATTAGATGTTTCAAGCCTTATTATATCTATCAGTAGATGTTACTTCTTCTTAGTCAATACTGCTTCTTTTTCATTCCAGGTACATTGTAATGTTGTGTCTTGTCTGTTTGCCATTTGCAGGTAATATGTGTAGGGCAGATTATCGGCGCCATTGTGGCTGAAACCAGAGAACAAGCCAAACGAGCAGCCGAGCAGGTGGCCATAACTTACCAGGACATCCAACCTGCCTTTTTCACTATAGAGGTATTTGTAAACAAAATCATATTCAGAAAAAAACTTCATAATGGAGTACTAAACAAAAGTTGAGGAGCAGCACGTTCATCTAATCCTACTAATCACCACACCATCTTTATTATTAAGGAGGCCATTGAACACCAGTCATTTTTTGACCCAAAGAGAAAACTGGAAAGAGGAAATGTGGAAGAAGGCTTTAAAAAAGCAGACCACATACTGGAGGGTTTGTACAATTAAATCTGAATCTCATTAGGATCTCTCCATATAGAATGCTTTTTTTAACTGTTCTTTGACTTTTATATATATAATTGTTTTATACAATGCACATTATAATTCTTTTATATTTCTCACAGATGAGCTGTATATGGGTGGTCAAGAACACTTCTACATGGAAACACAGGGATTGATTGCAATTCCTAAGGCAGAGGCAGGTGAAATGGAGCTCTATGTTGCCAGTCAGCATGCAGCTTATACTCAGGTCTGTATTGCTCCATGGACATAAACGGATGAATATTATTCAATATAAAGATATTTATTTTTTATTAATGTAAATCTGTATTTAAAAAAAAGAAAGAAAAAAAAAATGTGGAGCATTAAAAAAGTTCATTAAAAAATGCTATTCACATACTCTTCCTCCATTTCTGACCTAATTTCCTCTTTTGAACAACAGGAAGTGGTGGGCATCACTCTTGGCATTGATTCCAATAAGATCACATGTCATGTGAAGAGGCTGGGAGGTGGATTTGGTGGCAAAGTCATGAAGATTGCATCATTATCTGCCATCGCTGCTACAGCCACTTACAAGTATGGCAAAATGAGACTTGTACCTTTTACAGAATGGCACTTATTTAACTGCTTTTGTATTTGCCCTTATTGCTTATATTTAAGTGCATTGTTTTCTTATTTCTGTGAAGTGCAAAGAAAGTATGCTATGCCTTTAACACAATACTAAAAGATAATGCTAAGTACAGACTGTACACTCAAATTTAACCACAGGACTGGCCGTGCTGTACGATGTGTACTAGAACGTGGAGATGACATGTTAATCACCAGTGGCAGGTCCCCTTTCTTGGGAAAGTACAAGGTAATGTTTCACTATTGGTAACAGTATGTTGACTAGATAACTGTGAAGCATCACAACAGCTTAAGTCCTGCCTTTTTTCTACAGGTTGGATACATGAATGATGGAACAATCCTGGCTGCTGATATCACGTACTACAGTAATGGAGGATGCACTCTGGACGAATCCTCCTTTGTATGTTGGTTTTTAAGACTTAACAAGAAAAACTTATTTTTTTTTACATTTTGAAATGGCCAATCCCTTTATGAAATGTTGAAAATCAATTAAGTAAATCCTGATAATAAGGAACTGTAAGCTAGGTTACCTTAAATTCCCATGTAGGTCAGTCTCCAAGTCACGTATCTTCTGTAATTTACTACCAGATCATGGAGAAAGCTCTCCTTCACATGGATAATGGCTACAAGATCCCAAATCTACGTGGACATGGACTGGTGTGCAAGACCAACTTACCCTCATATACAGCCTTCCGTGGATTTGGTGGACCTCAAGGGTTGACCATCATTGAGGGCGTGCTACATGAGGTGGCCACCAGATGTGGCTTACCTGCACATCAGGTGGGATTAAAGACAAGTTGATTAAACAGAATTCAAACGTAAATGGGTTGAAATTTGAACTGGTAACCAAAAGACTGTATGTTAAAAACCCTACAACTGTTGGTTCATGATGTTGAGCTGTTAAGGTAACTATTGATGTGTCAGATCATGATGATATTGTTGGGGTTTTCATTTCGACTCTAAAAATGCAATCCAAAAAATTTAAATATGTCTTTCTGTACAGGTGAGAGACATCAACATGTACAAGGATGAGAAATGCTACACCCACCACAAGCAGCTCTTTTCTCCTCGTGACATGGTGCAGTGCTGGAATGAGTGTCTCGAGAAATCTGACTACACCCATCGATGTCTGTCCATCGAGCAGTTTAATGCCCACAACCACTGGAAGAAGAGAGGGATCTCCATTGTCCCACTAAAGTTTGGAATTGGATTCTCCAAGGGTTTCTATAACCAGGTGGGTAAAAACTTGTGAGACTGCACATAAAATAGTGCAGTTTGGTTCACACGATCACTTTAAAGCTTTTCACTGTGTATTAGTCAATACTACTACAAAGAATATCCAATATCGGACAGTTTTCCTGAAATTCTCTTCAGGGAGCAGCATTGGTAAACATCTACAAAGATGGATCGGTTCTGATCTCACATGGAGGAACCGAGATGGGTCAAGGTATCAACACCAAAGCCATACAGGTGCGATGAGTCTCAGTGTTGAACAATGGATCCAAATACAATTATGACATGAAATATGCCACTTGCAAGATAATGTCAAACTTCACGTTCAAATTGCAGATTGCAAGTCGCATTCTGAAGGTTCCAATGTCTTCGATCCACATCAAGGAAACCTGCACAGGAAACGTGCCCAATGCTGCACCATCCGCTGCATCCTTTGGCACGGATGCTGTCGGGATGGCAGTCAAGGTATAGGGACAATCACTGATTTACAACATTTACAGAAGTGTCTTTTTCATGACTGAAATTGTACTATTTTGCACATAGAATGGTTGTGAGAAACTAATGAGAAGTCTGGAGCCACTCATTAAGAAACATCCCCAATACACCTGGCAACAACTGGTTAGTAAGAGTGACATTCAAATACTCAACTACATAATACAAACTGAATTAAAGATGGATGGCCAAACAAGAATCACTTAACTGCTGTTATGTTTCCAGGTTGTGGAAGCATATTGCCAGAAGATCAGTCTGTCAGCAACAGGTTTCTTTATGTATGTGTTTGACCTTGTAATAGCATAAAGCAAAATACTGAGTTGTCTGTGATGAGATACTGTTAGAGTTGAATGAATGTGTCTTACTAATAAATAAATACACAATTAAATAGACAATTTGCTTATACCAGGGGCCCCCATACCAGTCTTGACTGGGAAAAGAGCGAGGGCAACGCATACTACTACTTTACTTTCGGGGCCTGTTGCTCAGAGGTGGAAATTGACTGCTTGACAGGAGATCACGAGGTTCTTGTTTTCTTTTAATCATCTATATATTCATACATTTTAATAAGATTTGGCTATGCAACATACGTGTGAAATTGGTAAAGATTTATGAGCAGTTATTGCCGTGTCAGTGGCCAGGATTCATAAAACTGCAATTTTTCAGGTTATGTGTGCACATTCACAATTTGAATATTAAAATTTGGTGGACTGTGAAATTCTATTTTACAGAACATTAGAACCGACATTGTGATGGATGTTGGTCGGAGCATAAACCCTGCTCTGGATGTTGGACAGGTATGGAAGATATTTTGTTATTATACTTCAGATGCAAACAATTAGGGTGTAAATCAGTGACCATACACTACAGTAAATAAATGTGTGTGCATTTACAGGTGGAGGGTGGTTTTGTCCAGGGAATTGGGCTCTATACTATAGAGGAGTTGCAG